GAAACTCTGAAGCAGTGAACGAGCTCTAGCAATGAAAATTCAATGGGGGAATAAATAAATAAATAATCTGTCTAACTCAATTAAGGAGTATTTTATGAATTACAGCATTGTTGCCTGGTGTCATATATAAAGCAAAGTTAATTAGTTACTTCTATTGAGTTTTTTGTGTTAATGAAATATTGAGCAGGAATCCTTTATCAAAGGGATGGTGAGAGCAGCAATAAAAAGGTAGACCAATCTGCAGAAGAATGCAGTGCTTTCACTCCAAGCACAACGAGCATGCGGCTCATGTAATTGACTACAAGGTTGTACTTTTATTCGCTGAATCTTTAGCCCCTGGATTTGATAGCAATAGTCGGTTTCCAGGCTCTTGAACACTGCCCTCGCTTTATGCATTTTCATAATATAAATATGATATATGTTTACGCCATATGACCATTGTATGTTTCCACATTTTCATGGCTCTTGTTGCCTTTCCTGTGATTTGAGTGAATTGTGTAGTGCTTGAAAAACCTGAAAACCCCCCTGAAAATATTCATTTTGATTTATTTTGTGCTATGCATTGTTCTGGCCCTAACGTTTCATGTACACGAGCTGCAGCGTGTTTTCATTCCAGCTTCGAGATGCACAGCTCCGCTATGCTACTCGCATTATACAGGAATGCAGATCCTCTGAGCTTTTGCATTACGTAGTCATGCATGCATCTGCCCAAGGAATGCTAAAACCCATTCAGGTTCTGCAGGCGAAGAAAAAAGAATTTAAGACTCTTAATAAAGACAAGAAACGTTACACCGTCGATTCTGGTGATGCAGAAATGAGTGTTTTATCCCATTAAATCTTATTTCTTCTAACAATTATAAATTCCACAAGCCCAGAACAGAATGAGGGATCTGAACACAGCAGTGTTTTTGATTTTCTGAGTGGCGAATGTCACTCACAATAGTAAATGGGCTTAGCTGTTCACTGCACCCACAGAAACCAAATCTCAGTTTGGCTGCTCTACTTCTGCTGTTTCAGTAGATGTCCCTCTAACAATAGATGCTTATGACTGTGGCTTTAGCAGGCAGTGGATGGGATCAGTGGATCTGTAGCAACAGTTATAATGAATAAAACACAGTGTTTTCATCAACAGGGGGCTGAGTGTGTTTCTCGACATATAAAACGACATTTTCTTTTACCGTCGGTGATCTCGTCTGATGGCCACCACTGGGTGCTGAGTCTAATGGAAGGCTGCCCACAGCTCACCTCCTGCTCAAAATATTTCCCCAAAAATTAAGTGTTATTCTCATGTGAACAGCAATAGCATCAGCTGCTAGAAAGAAAAACACATTACCCCCTTGGCAAAACATCACACATCAAAACACACACACATTTCTAACGGTCGGTGCAAACACATCATTGCTGACTGGTGCGTGTAGCTTCCGACCCGGTTTCCACTGTTCTCAGTGTTGACAAGGGGATCGTGTTTTCTCTTTACACCTCCAATATACCCCAAACTAAATCTACAGGAGTTTGAAGATGCTGCACCACAGCTGCTGTTTACAAAAATTGATTGCATCTGACCAAAGTCCCTCTTTTGGATGCAGGCAGACTAGGATTTTCAGCTTGCTTTTGCTTTGCTAAAAAGGATTACAAGAACTTGCTAAAATGCTTTATGCACAGGCATTAGTAGTATCAAACTCCCGTCCATTGCCCAAGTTTCAAATTTCTTTCTCACAATTACCAATCTTAGAACTATAGAGGAAGTTTCAATCAGGCAAACTGCAATAAGCTTCAGGCAAAATTCAACTTAGATGCAAAGTGACCTCCAATCAGAGAATCAGTCCGTCCACGTGAATGGAAATGAATGCAAAACCCTCACGCTTCAGTAGGCTGTTTTTACTGTACATTTATTCTCTGTAACAGATTTGCCCTTTCAGTGAACTCTGCCCTCTGTCTCCAGCACCATGCTGATGTTGCCTGTTATTTTTCTGAAAACAAGATGAATCACCTTCTTCTACCTGACAAAGGAATTCATTATCCTTTCCCCCTCCCAGAGGACGCAGGATTGGTCTTCTCAAATGTGTTTGTGGCATGGCTACGTTCCAAAAAAGCAAGAGAGTGCAGTGATGTGCTAACAAGGATGAGACTTCCAAACTCATGAATAAACTCTCAATTCATGTCTTCAGTTTCAGTTGAGGCACACCAAAGCTTGCGGGGGGTTGGGGGGGGGGACAATAAATGCAAGAGCAGCAACAAATTCAGAAAGCATGGATATCAGCTCAACATCTGACTCAAATCTTACATTGTTCACATTGTTGCTTTGTTACATATTTTTTCCAGGGAGCGCTGACAAAACCAGTAAGCATGCAGGATGAGCTTTGACACGCTGTTTTCCAAACTTACTTTGTATTGAGAAAAGGCAGTAAAAAAAAAAAAAATCACTTTACTGTAAACACAAAAGTAAAAATGTGCATCAAACACCAAAACTTTAACCTTGAAATAAAAAATGTGTCTCTTTCTTTACTAGAGGGGAAGCCGCAAGGGGATTAAAATGAATTAGATGATAGACCTTCTAGGTACAACATGCAACTTAGGCCCCTTCGCAGATGATTTATTGTGATTCATTCATTAGCCTGCTAAGTTCATGTTATCGTTTCATTACAAAGGCTATTGGTGTAGTCGGCATGTGGCCATATTTGGATTCCCCAGCGAGAGATAAGGTGCCAGCAGCTTTACATCATGCCTGTCTCCTTACAGCACTGTGGGAAAAATTAGGGTTATAGTGCAATTATTGCCAAAGATAACCAGAATGCAGCAGAGGGGCTTGACGAGGGGAAGCTGTGCTCTCTGAAAAGTTACGCTAGTTTCATGGAAAATATTTAAAATCCCCTCACTAATGTGAACACTTGGCACAGAGAGGCAACCTAGTAAATGAACTACACGTGTGACAAGACAGATGAGAAGAAAACCACATTGGAGGAGAGAGAAAGGAAAGCATGTTTCTGGTGTAAGTCTAAAATGTTCCACACTCTGATTATCAGGACATTTCAGCTTCCTCAATGTCTGATTCGGCCTGAATTGGCTGAGCGTTGCAGTGGGTGAAGAGGCGTGAGGCTTCCATGATAAATGATAGCTTAGAGTCCCACACATCATCCTCTGTGTGCCGGCACGTGCAACTGCAAGTAAGTGCACTGCAAGACTGAACATTTTCCAGTTTTAGGAAGAGGAAAATAGTTAAGAGCAATCATCCGCACTTCACATCAACACTACAGGTAGTTTATCTCGCTGATACATGAATTCCCCAGGCTAAAGCAACAATGGTGCCATCATTAAGCACAGTTCAGGAAAATGCCAGACTGATAAAGAAGACATGTCATTTGAATGCTCTGGGTTGATATTTGGACAAAGCTGTTTAAAACCGGCAAAGTACCCAGAACATTTGACTAAAGAAAAAAAAAGAAGGTGGTTAAATACACTTATATTAGCGGTTAAAAGGATTTGCATTTGTTGAGCTTAGAGGCTTTAGAAAAATAATTTAGGGTTAAGAAGAGGGCTAATTCTCGTGTTTTCCTTTTAAGGCAAGCAAGACTTGCCCCGGCGGTATTAGTGTTTCCTTGTAATGTAGCCCAAACCCTGGCATCTCAGAGTACCCTATAGCCAAAATGATCAAAAAGCATTTTAAGCATTTTAAAGAAGAAGTGGTATTGTAATAAAATGTAATAATATCTCCATAATGTCAGAGCAAGAGAAATAACAAGAACCACCAATAAGCAATGGAGTTATGAGCAAATTTGTGGCATTAACAGTAGCTCAAGGCGCCAGATAGTCAGCATAAAGCAGAGTTGCAAAGTCTGCCAGTATCAGTTTGGTAAATGCAGGCAGATGTATAGTAGCTCTACAAAATGTTTTACAATGTGTTTCTAAGCCATCCATTCACAAACACTCACCAATGGCAGTGAGTCACCATGCGAGGCATTGTTCTGGCAACAGGAGCAGTGTCTGGTTCAGTTTCCTGCTCAATAACACCTCAGCATGTTTAGGGACCAGGGCTCGAACCCCTCCAACCCCGTGATTAGAGCCAATTGTCCGTGGCCGTACTGATGAAAATGTGTGATAGTTGTGTGGCTATGTGAACTACAATCCAATCTTCTGCTTCCATATTTTTGCTTTGCCTCAAATTTCACTGGAAAGGTGAAATACATTATAAAAGTGGAAAAATGTTAAGACAATGTTGAATTCAGAGTAAAATAAAAAAATTTAGCATCATGTGACGCCGCTAGCTGACACATTTGTCTATGTAATTGTTGATTGTGACGGAAAAAATAAAGTCATGATACCAAGTCAAGATTTGTGCACATGTTAAAGCTGACCTAGATGACAAATGCATAGCTATTTATCTGGATTTTTCCAATAAATATCATTTGGAAAATAAATTACAAAAGGGAAGGAATAAACTGCTACCTCCTTCTTATATAATAATAATAATCGTTTTGCAACAGCGTCTTACCTTCACTTTGATTATACAGCCAATCAGAAAAAGACATTTTCAGTTACCATTGGATACAAATCACTTTAATCAATTTATTCCACATATACGAGACATGGCTGATCTAATGGCAGATCAACTGTGTCTTACATATGAGGAATACATTGATCTTCTGCAATTAGGGACTATTAGCGGATCATAGAGCTGAAAACTGATGAAAATGGTGACGGAAAAAGACCACATGCCTGTAGCATGTGATAGATAATCTTAATTAGCCCCAAAACTGAATCTCATTTGAAAAACATGACCAAAAACACTTACGGTACTCAAATAAATTTCCTAACCTGAATATGGAGCTGTATGATGTACAAAACTGGCGGCTGTTAAATCATTTCATCAATTAATAGTGGACGGACTAAGCCCAAGGTCTTGAATACGATCTGATTGGTCCAACCGCAGAGCTCGTAATATTCAGCGCTCCCATATAAACCCGTGCAGACTTGACGTGCAATCTGTCATGCAAGTCAAAAGGATAGCGAGGAGTCCAGTGTAGAGCCACAGCTGACAGCCTACTCGCAGTAGCCTTCATTTGTTCTGTTTTTGCGCTGCAGAAGGTTTTTTTTTTTTCTTTTTTTTTCGGGGCGCTCTTCTTATGAATTACACACAAAGCAGGAGGCGTCTCTTTGCGTTTAGTTGTGTTATCTGTGTTGACAGGACGATGCCTTTGAGAACCGGACTTTTTCTCCTGCTGGTGCTGAATGCATCAGCCTATGAAGTGGATCAAAACGAGTCCTATTCGCCCAGGAGAGCACGCTTTTCTGCCAATAGCCCTAGTAAGTAACACGCTGCTTCCATCTGCACATCTCAGAGTGCACTGCTTGCTTTCTTATTTTTTATTTACTTCTATCTATTTATTTATTTATTTTTTCAAATGCTCAGCCTAATCTATATAGAGATCTTTCCTTCTCATAAATGTGTTGGCCTATGCAGCCGTTTCTGTCTTAACGAGCGCGTTGATTCGCGGAGAAGGCTGCGGGATTAACGCTGTGGTTTTTGCCGGTGTCCTGCCGGCAACAGATGAGCATGGAGCTTGGTGCTGACACCTGAGAGTGCAGGCTGTGTCATGCTGTTAGTGTCTTTCTCTTGGCTTCCTCCTTCTGCTGCATCGGTTCCACTATTTAGCACTAAAGCGGATTGAGAGGCTTTAAACACGGCGTTTTCTGGATATCGCGGAGCATTCTGGAGCCTTGAAGTTAGAAGAAGTAGATCACAGCATTGTGCACCGTTGCACGAAGCAGAAAAAAGCAAAACTGCTTGTCACTGGGTTGTGTCGTTGGGATTAATAAATGCAACCTCTTTTTTTCCGTTTCCTTATGTGTAAAGGGAAAAAGCCCAAATCTTTCTAATAACCACTAAGAAAAAAAAGATCCGCCGCTGTACAGCATAAATCTGTTTGGCTTCATTCAAATGGTGAGTGTTAAAAAAATATTAATATTCTTTGACTACAAAGGCACAGCTCAGTGATTAAAGGCAGTGGGTAACAGGGATGCTCTTCCCCATCTGCAGGAATTGCTTCATCATCATCATAAGATTTGCAGCTCACTCTCTGTGTTTCCAGAGCGATCTCTAGTCCCTGGTGGCAGATAGACTTAATCTGACTGTGCAGGTCAACAAAAGGGCCCAGATTCAAAGCCCAAGAAGGCTCTGGGCTCCTCTGTGACATGTCTTAATGGTTATTACAAAG